TGTGCACCCTGGTCTGCTGGAAGGCCCCCCTGCCTATGGCAGGGAACAAGATGATCTTTAAGGTCCCTTCCAACCCAAACCATCTGATCCCGTTTCACCCACCTGGATGCAGGATGCCAGCACTGGAATGATGCCCTGAGGCAGAAGCCGCTTCCTCACAGCTTCGCTTTCTACTACCAGGTTCCCCAGCGTGTACAAACACAGCTCCTGAAACACACCCAGGAGAGCAGGCCACCTCCTCTGTGCTCCCCAGCAGGACCCTGGGCAGCCAGAAGGCCTCTGGGTCCCTGCAGCCCAGGCCTAGACCCCCACACTGTCCTCAGCGGGGCAGAACCTGTCTTCAGAGGGGCAGACAGAGATGGAGACTGATGGACTCTCCAGCTACCCTGTTCTCAGCTCTGTCAGCTTCAATTTATCCTTTTCCTATCAAGCTCAGGTTGGGATGTGATCACTGCTACTCTGGAGGTTTTTCAGGCTTCTAATGATTGCTGTGACATTCCCCTCAAATTCCCTGGTGTTCTCCTGTGGAGATCATCACCTTGGGGCCGCTCCCCATCTCACTCCTCAACTCTCATTCTGCCTGCTTTGCCAAGAAGCAAAATGCTTGGGTGGCCCAAAGCTACTCCAGCTGCTGGCTTCTTCTGACAAAGTAGCTGTCCCTTGATCCCAGCCTGCAGCTCCTCATTGCTTTCACTTCTCCAAGATCTCTCCAACCACCTAAACTTACCCATATCTGGTATTTCTGCTTTACCCACCACACAGACACGAAGGTCTGTCCAGGCTCAGCCTGCGTCAAGAGGCTGGACCACAAGTCTGATGACAGGAGGCCAACTATCACAGCCTGCCAGTCCCCATTCCCCAAAGGGAGCTTGGAGCTGAGGAAGAGGAACCTGCTGCAAATGGGGCAAAGTGCTCTGTCCTGGGCTGTGGCAGGAGGATCTGCCTGGCACCAGCGGGGCTCAGAAGCATTTAAGAGCATCCTGCAGCTACCTGGAAGGAGCTGCAAACATAATGGAACCAAACTCCTCTTGGTGTTGGGAGTAGGCACAGTGAAGGGAGTCTCCATATTGCCCTCCAAGAGAGTGGCAGAGCCCTGGAGCAGGCTGCCCACAGAGGCTGTGGAATCTCCTTCTCCAGAGAGATTCCAGACCCACCTGGATGTGATCCTGGGCTCCAGGTGACCCCCTAAGTACAAGGGTGGGATGAGATGATCCTCAGAGGGCCCTTCCAACCCCCACCACGCTGGGATTCTATGTGATGCCCAAGATTTGGCCAGACAAAGCCTTGCTGCTCTGAGCTAGCACCGGGGACAGACCTGCTCCAGTGGGAAGGTTGGACTAGAGCCTTCCAGAGGACCCCTTCCCAGCAGCACTCCGATGTGAGCCGCTTTAGCCTAAGGCTGCCCAAAACAGGCCAACACCCAACTGCTACTAAAGGATTATCAGGTGTCCGAGCCCCAGCAAACACAAGCATGGGTCTTACCGTGAACTCAATGCTGTGTCCTGAGAGGTAGGTGAGAAGATAGGAGGTCACGGGCAGACATGCCTCAGCCACAGCAGGGTCACTGGAGTGGGAGAGCTCGTGGAGACAGCGGGCTGCCTCCATCTGCATGTCAGCCAGGTTGCTGGTGAAGAGCCCAATGAGTGTCCGGATGCTGCCGCCCAGCCTGGTGGAACCCAAAGCGTGCTGTCACCTCCTGCCTCCCCACCCTCGGCCACACAGCAGCTCACCCATGCAACGCCTGGCACAAAGGGGCGCTCCGGCCGTGCCCTTGGTAACAGCCACACGGTGCCAGACCTGGGCTGACCTGACAAAGTTCTGCTGAGTCTCCTTGTTCTGCAGAGCCCAGCAGAGGCGGCTGAGTGATCTCTTCCTGTCATCTGAACCTCTCTGCAGGCCTCTGAGCAGCTCAAGGACCTATCCGAAAATTAAAAGATGGGTGAATTTCAAGCAGTGCCAAGGTTGAGGTTTCACCCCGTTCCTTCCAGAGGCAAAGAAAACTAGACGGTCACAACCTCACTCAGCACGTGTGACTGAGGAAACACTCCCAAACCCACCCTCACCATGTGGAGGCTGGAGAACACCCCAGGGACCTCCAGCACCGCGGAGCGCATGACACTCCTCACCTCATCCTCCGAGAGCGGGTCGGGCACGGTCTCCGCTCCATCCCGTCCATCCTCCGCAGCGCTGTCCTCCCGCAGAAGGCGCTTGCTGACCAGCTGCTCCTGCCGCCGGGCCTTCCTGA